CTAATTTATGATGGTTAAGTTACCGTTGGATAGGTAACATGGTGGCGTATGACTCTACATGAGTAAAATGGTCCTGAGACGAAGTGCCTACGAGGACCTGTTGATAACAACTGATTATAATGACATTGTTGACAAGTTAGGACGGATGTTGTGTCAGAGCAGTCAGTGTAACTTATGGTAGTTGTCTAAAATTGACAGATGTCAGCCTTATTTAAAATTAAAAAAGTTAAAATTATAATAATGTAACAGTATCAACCATCAATATTGTAATCTGTACTGTAAATTAATCAGATAGGTATATTTGTAACATTGAAAATTGGTTTTTTAAAAATTAATGTAGGTCAACTAGAATTTATGAAATTTTGTGGGATTGATAGGCAACCAACTATACATGTGTAAGGATATATTTATTTTAAGCTAGAGATTTTGTCAAAAGGCCCTGTATGTTGTGAGACATTTGGTACCTAGAAAATGGTAAAAAGACACATGTGGGAAGATGGGTCCTAAAAGATATATTATTGAGTATTGATGTAATAGGTGGAAGTGTGTTTAGATCTGTTATTGAGCTGAAATGTAAATGTGACAAGAATGTGATCATAATATGGTGTTCATGTAGTACTCAACTTAAAACTTAAGTATGGAGGGCCCTTTATGTCAAAAAAAATATTATATATAAAATTATATATAAAAATTTATATTAATATATATTATTATATATATTAATATAAATTTTTTGACATAAAGGGCCTTCCATACTTAAGTTTTAAGTTGAGTACTACATGAACACCATATTATGATCACATTCTTGTCACATTTACATTTCAGCTCAATAACAGATCTAAACACACTTCCACCTATTACATCAATACTCAATAATATATCTTTTAGGACCCATCTTCCCACATGTGTCTTTTTACCATTTTCTAGGTACCAAATGTCTCACAACATACAGGGCCTTTTGACAAAATCTCTAGCTTAAAATAAATATATCCTTACACATGTATAGTTGGTTGCCTATCAATCCCACAAAATTTCATAAATTCTAGTTGACCTACATTAATTTTTAAAAAACCAATTTTCAATGTTACAAATATACCTATCTGATTAATTTACAGTACAGATTACAATATTGATGGTTGATACTGTTACATTATTATAATTTTAACTTTTTTAATTTTAAATAAGGCTGACATCTGTCAATTTTAGACAACTACCATAAGTTACACTGACTGCTCTGACACAACATCCGTCCTAACTTGTCAACAATGTCATTATAATCAGTTGTTATCAACAGGTCCTCGTAGGCACTTCGTCTCAGGACCATTTTACTCATGTAGAGTCATACGCCACCATGTTACCTATCCAACGGTAACTTAACCATCATAAATTAGAAACACTAATAATGTAAAACAATTTCAAATTTATAACTTTTAAGGGGTTTTTACCCACATATTTTGGTGGCTACTAGCATGTACAACCGTAAGTATTAACCACATTTTGCTCTAACCTTTGTCAACATTTTCATTTAACGTTCTTTTTAATTAAAGTGGTTATATACTTTCAGGTTTGCACTGATGATGGATTGTTTAATCCGAAAACGTTTTGCAATGTGTTTGTGATAGCCCGTTTGAGGCAATTTTATATACCTTTTATAAAGGATTTTAACAAATTTTTTTGTGATATATGGTATACAGCCAGCTACAGGAACTTAGTTTCCTCGTGGAATTCTGCCTTACTCTGTTGAAGTTTGCGATTAGGACATCGGTTGGGGTGATTCAGATCTATTTCCACAGAGGAAGATCTCTAAGTCCCCTGCTGGAGTAATCATTTTTGTCTCTTGTCTATTATATTCCCACGAGTCAGGACGAACTGCTGTCACATATGAGAGTGAGCCAAGTGTATAATCCTCAAAGTTTGACAACTTTTTGGAACACCGCTTAGACAAAACTTTTCGCCCTGTACCATGCATCTAATGGGTGACATGGTGTTCTACATCGGAATTGGGTAACCCAGTAGACACAACACAAATCTCACCGTGTCGATGTGCAGGCATATTATGTGTATTTTGTGATTAATTGTATACGTTTTAAATTTAACAAATTTAAAGCTACAGTTAATGATACAGTTGCAGCACCTATGTCATGTTCTCAGTTGATCAGCCGATGTTTACTTGTTTCTATCTTATTCATCTGTCCTATGACCTTCTATGCTTATAAGATGTTTCCTAGTACTCATTGGGTTGATCCTTGAGCACCCAGTCTGTCCTACCTGAGTTTTGATTATTTAAATAATAAATCAGCGGAAAGGTGACAAATGAAACTAACAACAGATTTATAAGCCTAAGGAGTCATGCTTTGAAAATATTTCTAAAAAATGTTTATTCAAGAATAAACAAAAAATGTGGTGAATTTGACGGTAAACCCAATTTAATTTTTTAAACGCAATGGGTATTAGCGAAGCCATATTATACTATAGGCATATGATTGTTCAACAATTTTATGAGTTACATAAAAACGTCATCATACCATTTATAGATTACCAAAAACCTTTTGACGAGGAAGACGAAAGCTGTGAGGTAAGCGAAGCAGACGAGAGGGAGGATGATCGACCAACGATCCTGGAAGTTAAAGACGCTGTAAACAAACTAACCAGAAACAAATCACCGGGAATAAATAATCCCCCAGCGGAATTATATAAAGCAGGTGGTCACGATATCATAATAGCGCTACAGCAGCTTATAAAAGAAATAAGGATACAGAAGTCCCTTCCCAGTGATTGGAATATTGGAATACTTTGCACTATACACAAAAAGGGAGATATCTTTGAATGCTTTGACTATCGAGAAATTACGCTCCTAAATGCAGCGTATAAAATATTCTCCAATATACTATGCCATCATATGACAACATATGCAGAGCGAATAATAGGACAATACCAGGCTGGTTTCATAGGTGATAAATCAATAATTCATCAGATTTCAACCCTGAGACAAATTCTAGAGAGAACACTGGAATACGGTGTAGACACGCACTACATATTTATAGACTACAAGGCAGCCTACGACTTTATAAATAGAAGAGAATTGTTAAAAGAGTACCAAATCAGTTGGAAAGTCTGACCAAACTAACCCTTGAAAAAGTTGAATGCAGAGTACGAATCCAGGGGGAACTCTCTGAATCTTTTAAAACAAATAACGGGCTACGCCAGGGAGACCCACTCTCCTAGATACTATTCAATCTAGCTCTGAAAAAAGTAATACGTACGTCACAAATCACAACTACCCTTTCAATATATAACAAATCTGTGCAAATCCTAGCATATGCTTATGATATCAATATTGTTGGGAGAACGGAAAACGTAACACGAGAGGCATACGGAGCACTAAAAGGAAGCGGCTACAAAAATGGGTTTAATAATAAACACCAATAAAACGAAATACATGAAAATAGGTAAGCAACCACAAATACTTACTGCCACTTGTTATAGAAAACGACGTCATCGAAGCAGATAACGAATTTGTATACCTAGGAACGCTAGTCAATACTGAAAATGACACTACCGCAGAGATAAACCGCAGAATTTGCACGGCTAATAGATGCTATTTTGAGCTTAATCTCCTTTTTAAATCTACAGTTATATCAAGAACTAGAACAGTAAAGCTCTACAAAACAATAATACGCCCAGTCCTAACATATGGTTCTGAAACCTGGACTTTAACAAAAAGCAATGAAAACCTGTTAGGATGTTTCGAAAGAAAAATACTAAGGCGAATCTATGGACCGGTAAATGAAAATGGTGTCTGGAGAAGACGATAGAACTTCGAACTCTATAGAATATACCAGGAACCAGATATCGTAAAACACATTAAGATAGGACGTCTGAGGTGGGTTAGGTCATGTAATGCGGATGGAGCAAACCGACCCAGCTAGAAAAACACTCCTTGATAGAACTATTGGTCAAAGAAGAAGAGGAAGACCCAGAAAAAGGCGATGGATAGGGACGACTGGAAAAAAATTCTTGAGGAGGCTAGGACCCACACAGGGTTGTAAAGCCAAAATGATGATGAAAAACCTTTTGATAGCATAAAACATCAAAAAATTAAGAACATAATCAAAAAAGTTGGAGTTGCTTGGAAATTGAGTTGTTGATTAAGAATCTTCAGATTATTTGAAATCTATATTGAAATTAATCGGCAAATTCATATGTCAACTCACGGAATGCAAATAACAAGAGGTCTTTTACAAAAAAAAAAACTGCAGACAATTAGCTACCTCCGGTTATACCAAACTACCTTCGAAAAAAAAAATTAGCAAACATTCCTCTTTACTATGTCAATAAACCAATTATAAAATTGTGAGTTATCTAATTCACAACTGAGATAAATATCAGAGACCATCAGAAACTCATTTAAAATTTTTGATAGTGTATATTATTCGAGTAATGAAAACGTTGTTAGTAATAAAATTGAGGAGTAATAACGAGCAGTGAAAAATAACGCTAAAGATCATCTCTAGCGAAAGCACGTGTTTATTCTTTGTTTGCAATAAACAATTTATTTTGGCTCGGCATCACCGACCGACCGGTGTTAGTCGAATGAAGCACCGACCCCTCTTCGTTTCAAAATCGAACAGCACGACCGAACTGCCAATACCGCCTTGGGCTTTAAATTTCGCGGCCCGGCTTTTGACTGCGCATGCCTTCTACCGGATTCTTGCGCACATGGCAAAGACCAACCACGCTGGGTAACCGAAAATCAGTCAGTATCAAATCAAGCAGGCAAGCGGATTGTTTCTGCTTGTATCTTAATAATACTAGAAAGTAGATATTAATATATTTTTGTACAAGTGAACCGTTTTTAATACTACTAGCGTCGTTTTTATGACTTAATATTCAGCAATCGAAGGTCTAGTGCTTAATATCAGCGACAATCAAGTTGGTTGTTATCGAAAAACTGTGTTTTCTCTGGTGTTAAAATGCCGGCGTCGAATCTTTTCGCTGAAATGGATCGCGGCAGTGGGATCGGCGATGAAAGGGCTCTACAACTAGCTCTGGAATTGTCAATGCTCGGTTTTAGCGAGCCTCTTCCTTCGGTTTCTGAGCCAGATAGCCCTGGAGATCTAAGTTCTTTCGTCAACCCTCTCGCGAATGTCGGCTTAGAGGAAGTCAGATCCAAGAAGTCACAGAACATGACTGAGTGTGTTCCCGTTCCCAGTTCGGAGCATGTGGCCGAAATCGTAGGCAGACAAGGTAGGTGCATTTTATCTAGATCATTCACACAACTCATTATCTCTACGGTGAATAGGAAGTCAACCATTTATTATGCATCATTCGGCATTGGGATTGCTTGTCCTAGTTACGGGATTTACTATTTTAATAAGCGTATTTTGGAATCAATTTGCTAACTATAATTGAAAAAGTTTGGTTTTTTTGGTTTCAAACACTTGACAAAAAGTTACTGTTATTGTTATACACTAAAAAACAATCACTATAAAAATAATATTCATTATACACTACACTTACATATAGGTAACTAACAATGATTTTTGCAATGCAAAATTATTGTTTTACTTACATGACAAAAAGATAGTCATGCAAAATTTTAGTATTAAAAACAATTTTTAACGGAACTGTTGTAGGTTTAAGTAAATTCTAAGAAAGATACAAGTACTTAATTTTTTTAATATGAATAGGTATCTATTTATAATTCTTCATATATATTTTTATTTTTGCTTGTCATTGTCACTAATAAAATTTAGAATTAGAGACCCATACAGTATGGCCAAGACCTTTGTTTTTTTTTTCTTATATATTTTTATTCTATAAATATTCAGTTTATAGTTCATATTTTCATAAGATCAAACAGTTTCAAATGCAAATGCTTTGATTCCATTGTTATTCTATTTTTGCAATATCCTTAAAATATCAAGATGAACCAGGTACTGGTTTTTGTGAATATCCGTTCAATTAAATTGATTAATAGTTTATCTTACGTTTATTTTTGTTAAACGATGTAATTATATCAATGAAAAATAAATGTGTCCAATATTTTAAAATTTGTTAAATAATTGTGTTTACTTCCTAATTATATGTATTTCTGTATCAAAATACTGAAAAATCTCATGACTTTTAATACTGTTATATTTTGTATATAATTAACAACGAAAATCAATTTCTTAATATTTAAAAAAATATATTGAATATCTATGGTTTCTAACTGTATGTATTTCTGTATCCAAATACTAAAAAAACGATCACACATGCTTTTTATGCTTAATTTCCCACAATTCAGCTCAACTGTTTTTGTTTATCTATGCAAAATTAACAGAGTGTGTTTAGTACACTTAGTCTAATTTTTGTTCAGGTAAATGACCTGAACTCATTATTTTTGTTTATCATATTGTCATAAAGCTATGGCAAACAATAGCCTGCTAGATTACAAAATTATCTTTTTGAAACTGAATATAATCTTCAAAAATGTACCCTCTGAGATCAAGACCTTCAATATTGTGATCGTGAAGAAATTTGAGCTCAAATCTTCAACTTCAAAAGCTATTTCAGTTTCTATTTCATCTGATGATGTTATATATTTGTTATCTATTTCCATCAATTATACAGTATGGTTGTGTATTCATTATCATCTATAATAGATAAAATAATTAAATTGTAGAGCTTATTTTTTCAAACCACTACATAATATCAGGATCAGATATTGTAAAAAGTAGTCACTCAAAAACAACTATAAGTAATGTACCTATTTAAAAGTGCATTTACAAAGCGGGACAAAGAAAAAATTGCAGTATAATAAGTATAATTAATTTAACTAATTTACATAATTATAATTATTGCACTATTAGGAAGGAACCATCTTTTCTATAAATTAAAAATACACTGATTTTTAAATTACCTTTTTTAAGCTCAGTTAAGATAAGAAAACTTTTGTCAATGCTGTTACTTTATAAATAGTAATGGCAATATATTTTCAAACGGTTCATTACGTTTATGCATAGATTATCTTGTTATTGGGCTTATTTATGATAACAAAACAATGTGTGGCATTTGATAACACTGTTAATTCATAAATACCATAGTATCAACTTACTTTTTATATATGTATTTTTAAAGATACGTTTTTTGTGAATTGAAAAGTCTTTACACGATTCAGATTTACACTAACGCACATGCAGACTTCTTCAAATAAAGTTAATAATGTTTCTTGTCTCATTTGTTTGGATATAGCTAAAAGATTACATTTTTCAATTGTTACTCCTAATGCCACAGGCAAATATTTGTATCAACATGAAACACAATCTATACTGCTCAGGTTGATATGAACATATTTCTTTTATCTCTTGTATTATCAATACATTTGCTGATTGTAATAAATTACACAGACCATGGAACATCATTATGTGTTCAAAACATAACCTGGGTGTGTCAAATAACTTAAACTGTTGGGTTTCTCCACAATGCAGGCAGTTGAACTAACATCTTTTTGAAAGAATTTTTACATGGCGATGAAATAAATTACAGAATCTTAAACGCACAACACTGGCATGCATTTGGAAATAAAAGATATGAATCGAATACAAATGTTTCACATTACTAGTTTATTAAGTACACTTGCCATATTTTAATCTAAATCAGACTCAGATTTTGATAACAGCAACAAAAAACGCTTGTAAATAATTATATTGTGGAATTATGACTAATGCAAGCTTTCTAGGAGCTGCCTGAGGTAGGCAAATTTCTTTATCCCGTTCCATCCTATCAGATGTACTCTTAAATCCTGCATACGTTAATTCATATATTTGTGAATGAACTTTAAAAGGGAAGTAGATACGGATATGCCATAGAAGCTGTTGTTCATCTACAACTTTTTATAATCTTTTTACAATCGAGGCATAGTAATACAGTTTTAAGGAAATTTACAGCATGTGCATATGCAACAAAATATATGCATATTTTAATAGTCTCTCCCTAAAAATGTTGTGAATTTAAGACTTTTGCCTGTGTCCACCGATATTGAGGAAATATAACAATAGTTGACCCCTTATTCACAATAGCTGATTCTTATTTTAATCCCTTTTAAGGCCCTGAAGGCTCATGTTTTTTTGGGAAAGTTTTAGGGTGTTCATATGAATTATTAATTTTTTTTGTAACTATTTTAAACTCTCAACATAATTTGATTTATATATGAAGCACTCGTTTTATATCTTTTTTTATATTCAAAAATATTTGTTGGTTACTATATAAAAAAATTGCTGAGTTCTTAAAATTACAAATTTTGGTTAAAATTACTTTTGGAACAAAAAAAACTGGTATTTAAGTAATTGTAAATATAAGAATTTATTTCATATATAAATACAAATATGGACAAATATTTTGTAGATATAGAATCTACTTTACATTTTACGAACAATAATTGTAAATTTTACAATAAACAATTCAAACATTTAATGAAGATTGAAAACCTCACCCAACCAATGATTTTAGCTGTACTTTCATAATTCAATGTTTACATATTTTTCTAGAAAGTTAATGCTTCTATATTCCTTGATGTTATTTTGTCTACTTATCCCATTTTATAGAGCTAATACTGGGTGAGCAGTATTTAGTGAGAATACTTGTGATTACAGTGAGTATTTTTGGGTACCCAGTAGATATATAATACCTTTTGTGTTATACACAAATTACTCTTTATTATTATTAGTATCCTTACTAATTTTAAACATTTTTTACAAGCCTCCACTAATTAGGAAGCTTAAAAAATATCAAATGTGTTCTTTTCTTCTTTAGTTATATAAAATATCTTTACTAATCGTTTAAAAACCAATAATTTCCAAATGGTATACTGTACAAATACATGTATTTCAAGGAAATGATTGAATTGTTTGCTTTATATCTCAACTGATAATGAAATATCAAAATGCATATGCCCCACCAACGTTCACAAATAAATAAACTATTTTGATAAAGCCACACATCTGGCAGTTTACTATCTACTAAGTTAGTGTTTTGGTTTATATTTCGGCATTCTTTGAGTGAGAGGTTTGGTAATATATCTAGATAGTGCATTGCATATAATATGAAGAATGGTTGTAACTGTGATTACAATTATTGCAAAAGCATCAACTATTTCCAACTCAAAAGAATTTCTTAGTACTTAGCAATTCGAACTACCTACTACCTCTTAGAGGAGACACTTTTTAGAATTTCTCCTTCCGAAATTAAATATGTCAAAGCCGGTGTTATCATTATTAACCTATACTCATTGTATAAATCTTCAAAGAGAAATTTATCTACTTCAGCAAATAAAAAATGAAATGAGTCATACACGTGATCTTTATGACACGCTTATCGTGTCATTTAGCTGTCATTATTATTTTTACTTTTATTTTACTGAATTTATTTTTATTTATCATATGTGGGATATGGTAAGAACACATAGTTAAATTCTATCTTCATCGTTTTTCTTGTTGTTGTGTCAATATATTAACCTCCTTATCTCTTCACATCTTTTGTTTGAATTATTTTCTGTTTTTGTTGTGTCTGGTAAACATTTTTTGTTTTGTTGGTTTACTTTTAGTTCTTGTAGTTCTTGAGATTCTTTGTTTTAATTTTCTCTCTTCTTTCTGAAGTAGTTCTTTTCTTCTTCGTTTACTTATTTATATTCCTCCTCTGCTTGCCGGGTTCTGTGCCCCTGTTGTATACGTAAATATGCTTTGTTTTTTTTCTTTCTGTTATAATCGAATGTTATTTGTGAAACCAGTCATTCATTCTTATTGATCTTTATTTACTCTCCATGACTAGTAACCTTCAGCTGCTTAAAAGTGAGCACATTACCACACACAATTAAAAATATTACCACATTCGACAATAAATCAATACATAGGTCCTTCCAAATCCGTTTCCCATTGCATATTATATATGCAGGATCGTCGTGCTAATTAAAAACATATACGTAGCCTGCTGCTGGCAAACTAATTCTGATTCGACAAATACACGTATGTATAACCTATATATCGATGAAAATCGTTTGGGCGTAGAGTCAATAATTGGTTGCAAAGCAACGACAAGTTGTTAGCTAAAAATCATTAATTAGATATTCTGGTTATTAGAAGAGAATTTTTTTATTTGGGCCAGTGAAGAAGTCTTTATAATTCTCATTATGTAGATATAGTTTCTAAATAGGACAGAGACAGTATCGCATGCAGAGTATTAGTTATAGGTCTAGATAATTGAACGAGATTGAATCCTTTGAAGATAATCCTAACAATCGGTGAGGGCAGTTATATATGGTTGAATAGGAAAGAAAATCCTTGAAATCGGTAAGGATTTTTTGGTAACTATTTGTAATTACAAAAATCCAGATTGTTTTCTTAGGCACTGTATGCCAATTTGAAGCAGTAGTTTACAAAGTATCATCAAATGTATCAAACAACCATCATATAATTTACCTTATATGGCATTTGACTTCAAAAATAATTCAAATTAAGACATGGTCAAATAACAGAACACATTTTTTCTTTGTTATTAAGACTAAGACTGTAACAAATACTAAGGAACATGCCCCAACCACAAGCAGACAAAACACAATAGAACGAGCTCACAAAAAACGGAAGAAAGAAATCGACATATCAAATTCATTTTCGCAGAATTCGGAATATAAACTACAATTTGAATATTGATAAAATCTCAATGTCCAAATGGAAACACAAATTTTATAGAGATATAAAACTCATAAGATCGGAAAATAACTTAGAGGTGATCAAAGAAACGAAAACTTTAAATTGTTCTTACTCCCCAATGTTTTAATAACATAAAACGAAAGAAAATTGTGTTTTTAATATTTTACGTATTTAGCCTTCATTTTCACTTCTATTATGTTCCTTTTTTTATTCTTAACATTATCCTGCAATATCTACTAATTTTCTTAAATCTGCCCGTGCTTCCTGTATCATTAATTCTTCAACTGCATGTTGTTATAAGTCTCTTTTACTAACAATGAATAACACTGACGCCATAAACATTTTTAAATTCAAACCGTAAACCAACATTAGTCATTCCACCGTATCCACACTACCAACAACGATGGCAGGAAGTTATGAATTAGCTCAAGCAAGCACCTCACTCATTCTCATCGACTCGACTGTGTAATAGTCCAATGCGGTTTCGGAGGTAATGCTCGTACTCGAATTGTACACAATGGCCAGTGAAAGTTACATTGTTTTTTCGAATGCACTTACCAAAAATGGATGAATGTATACATTGGACTACAGAGGCATTCCAAAGAAGTGTAAACATCAGGCCAAACATACCGGGAAGGTTAAAAACGTAAAAGTAAAGTAAATAATGGAGCTTTAACCGTGAATATATTAGGCACTATTTAATATTTTCAGTAAAACCAGGAAAAGATTTTTGTAACAAGTTTATAATATCAATTTCATATGTAGCTTTTTTGGTCAATTCAGGTAACCAATAAAGTATTAAATTAACAAACAGCTTAATCTATCGAATTAGACTGTAGAGAAAAGCCTCTACACCAAATATTTGTGTAATCCAGCGATGTCAGTAAAAAATACTGCATTTTATAGTCCTACTTCGAAACGAACTCGAAATGTTTAAAGGGAAATGATTCCAAGTGACATAGCTCTTAGGTGCATCCAACTATTTAAACCATCTAGAACAAAATACGAATACATTGTCAACTCTTTTTTATATAAAAATATGCTTATGGCGAATATTATACTGGTAATTCTTGGATGTTCGGTACTTACACAGTACAGATAATGAATATTGATATAGAATTTTACGTTTTTGAAATTCCGAACCATGACCTTCTAAAATATAAATTTATTTTTACTCAAGTGGCTACAAAAAAATAATTTAAAATCTTAATAACATTCGCAATCACTGTCAAAAGAAATAAGCAAGACCACCAACAAATTCATATTCCAATCATCAAAGGAAAATAATAATCCGGGCACGAAAAGGAGCAGAGAAGCGGACATTCATCCTCGAATTTCATAAAAAATACTCTTACCTTCCGATATTCTGTTTCATGCAGGCCCTAAACAATTAAAGACACGGATTTTTATGGAAACGCCCTGCAGGGATGAAATTCTATATTTTGTCTTGCGAAAAATCGATCGAAATTCGATGCTACGTCGATCACAGGATGTGCAATGAATGGCCTTTGTTCGCGTGGTTGCATGTTATTCTATACAATGACAGACAAAAAGACAATTTTGAAGACCTAACAGGAACATTACTATTTTACCTGGTCTAACCATCTGTTTCTCGGAATTATAAACATTTTAAAAAAATACTGTTTATATATGATGGTCCTTCCTGCATAAGTTCCAAAAATGATTCAAGAACTATTAGATTCCAGAATTTGTACTTTTTATCTTCATAAAAACGATGTTTTGATTACTTCTGCTAGTTTGGTAATAGTTTACGTTTTGAATTTGTTTTTATTTCATCTTCATGATTAACATGTGCGATTATATAAAATAATGGTCCTTATACATTCATATTTGTGTATACTGTTGCATGTCTTTACTTTATTATTTGCCATTCCTGTATTATTTTCTTTTCTTTCGCACTTGTTATCTGTTAATGCTAATATTCTTACTTTAAACTCATATTTTCTTATGTTCTGACTTTCTTCGTATTTGTGACCTGTTCGTTTCTGATGTTCTGTGTTTAGTTGTCGGTTTTCTTAGTATCAGTTCCATCTGCATGTAAATTATTCAGAAATGACACTACTTACAGCTATATTAAAATTAACAACTTAAGACGCCCATTATAATAATAGGTTCAGTCTATACTCTAGTAATGATAACATTAACGTATACCATGTAGAGATGTGACACCTACAGAATAACTGAAACAGTTCAGATACCAGAACGTAAAAGTTTTATTTTCGACCAGAACAGATTACATAAATACAATAGCTTTATATATGTTGTAATCTGCCTTTATTTAAATCAAAACTTCGCAGTTAATAAATGTAATCAGTTTTTATTTCTACAACTGAATTAGATTGGCTACACTGATTTCAACTACCAAGTTAGGTCGTATTTATTGTAGCAGTGAGTAAATAGAATGGTATATTATAAAATAATGGTAAATTAGTTTAAATAGAAATATATATAAAAGCACGAAGTAGTTAAAGCTTTACATGCAGCCAGTGACAAAAACACTATACACCGATTGCTATATCAGGTCCATCTATAACAGATAGTGAGGTTACACGTTCAATACAAACGGCAAAAAATGGAAAAGCACTTGGCCCCGATGAAGTAAAAGTTGAAATAATAAAGTTTTTATCTTCCTGCGAGTAATACAGAGCAGAATTTACACGCTGTTTGAGGACAGAATTAGCAATACTCAATTTGGGTTTAGGAGTGGCGTAATTGTAACGCAGAAAGTCACGGCGAAATTAGATCTAGGATAGAGCAGGCTAGAGCTGCTTTTAGAAGGATGTCCAAGGTGTTATGTA